GTGTGTGTGTGTGTGCGCATGTGTGTCTGTGCGTGTGTGTATGTGTGTGTGTGTGCGCGTGTGTGTCTGTGCGTGTGTGTATGTGTGTGTGTGTGTGTGCGCGCGCGCGCGCGCGCCCGTGTCTGAGCATGTGATGGCCAGAGGTCAACCTGAGGTGTCACTCAGGCTCTGTCCACTTGGGTTTTTGAAAAGTGTCTGTCATTTGAGAGGAACTTAGATATTTCTCAACCTGTGGGTCACGACCCCTTAGGGTGTCAAACGGTTCTTTCCGAGGGTTCTCTAAGACCATTGGGAAACACAGATGTTTACATTGCGACTCCAAATAGTAGCAACATTTCAGTTAATAAGTTGGAACAAAATAACTTTATGGTTGGGGCCACCACAGCCTGAGGAGCCGTGGGAAAAGGTGGAAGCCTTAGGAAGGTGGAGAGGCCCTGCCCTAACCTTGCCCGTTAGGCTAGACTGGTCATGAGCCCTGAGGAGCGCCCTGTCTTCTTTCCCAGCCCTGGGAGCACACGTGTGTGCCGCCACACTGCGCTCGGGAACTCGGGTCCTTGTGTAACAAGCGTTTTACTCACTGAGGTATTTTTCTGGTTCTATTTATTTTGAAACAGGGTCTCACGTCGCCTGGGCTGGCCTGAAACTCAGTTCTCTCCCCTCAGCCTGCAGACACTAGGTCCGAGGTGTGGGCCACAGTGTTTTCGCTCTTGCTGTGTGCCCTCAGCAAGGCCACTTCTCTCTCGGCTTCAGTCCTGTCTTCAGGGGAGAGAAACCGAATGGCCAGTGCCTCAGGGGTCTGTCTTGGTCACAGACAGGGCCTGGAGGGCGAAGTCACAGGGAGTGGGCGGTGTCCAGGTGTCTGGCCGGAGACGTACCCAGCCCGCCCCCGCCCTGTGAGCTAATCCTCACGTAGTGGGGACTCATGGCAGCCCACGGTCCCGGGGTCCCAGAGTCGGAAGACAGCCACACAGTGATAAAATAACCATAGTTTACATCCTGGCTGGGAAGGAAGTAGCGACCAGAGAGGCCCGCTTCCTGTGGGTCCTACCAGGTGGGAGACCTAACGGACACAAGGGAGCCAGGCTTGGCAGCCTGTGCCTGTCACCCCAGCACTGGGCAGGTGGAGGTCAAAGGGCGTCAGCCTGGAATCCACAGCTGGGCCGGACTGGGAAGGGGGGGGCGATAGACTAGTGGGGGGCTGTGTGTGGGTGGGGGAGACTTCAGAACGCTGAGGTGGGGGAGAGAGTAACGTCTCTTTTCCTGTTTTCAGGGTTTGGCCCTTTTGGGGAGCACACTGTGAACGCCAGCTGGATCGCTGTCCAGGTAACTGGGGGGGTGGGGGTGGGAAGCCTAGCCCAGAGCGGAGCGTCTTTCCATGTGTTTAAATACAGTTCAAACATCTCGGATCCTAACCAATCCAGCTTGTTTGTTGAGGCCTTTTTTCACTTTTTGTTGTTGTTTTGTTTTGTTTTGTTTTTTAGCCTAGTTGTAATTGTATAGCCCAGGCTAACTTCAAACTCATGATCCTCCTGCCTCAGCCTCTTGAGTACTAGAACCATGCCTGGCTGAAAGCCTTTTCCATTGGCCTGGTGCTGTGGCGCAGGCCTTTAATCCCAGCACCTGGGAGGCAGAGGTAGGCGGATCTCTATGAGTTCGAGGCCAGCCTGGTCTACATAATGCGTTCTAGGACAGCCAGGGCTACATAGTGAGACCCTGGGTAAAAAAAAAAACAAACAAAACTTCCTTGAGAAAGGCCTGTGTGTCCCAGCCCATGCTGCCAAGGCTGGAGAGCAGATGGGCGTATTGCGCGAGGGCTTAGCCTCTTAGGAAGGAGGGCACTGACCCTCAGCTTCTGCCCTGGGAGTCTCAGGAGGGTGTCTCTTCCCAGAGCCCGATCCAAGGAGTGACTCCACGAACCTGTGTGTCCTTGCCAGATGGGACATTCAGACACACAGGCTGGGGAACAATTGAGTCGGGAGAGACAGACGTTTGGTTCTTAGAAAAATCAGCTGGCGGAGACGGCAGCCGGACCCGGATTAATTGTAGCCCATTAGCTGTGTGATTTAAGGGTCCCCTCTCCCCATCCAAGACTCCCACGTCCCCTGCCACCAGCTTGTCACCTCCCCACCTCCGAAGTCCCAGTCGCTCTCTGCCCACCTGCACTCTGGCAGCCGGATGGAAGGCTCCAGGATCCCGGGACCTTGCAGATGGGAGTGTGGCCGGGGCCCCTGCTTGCACACCCGCTCCCCAGAGCCCCAGACAAAAAGGTCCAGTGTGTCTCTGAAGACTTGTGTGTCTGGCTTTGTGTGAGTTGCAGACAGGAGGCTTCACGGGCTGAGTGGACACAAAGCCAGTGTCTGGGTTCCGGGGCCCCAGACACCGCCATCTGCATGTAAATAGGGAAGAAATCAATTCAACCATCTTTGGGAATTCCCTTAGAGCTTCAGGCTCCGAGGGGAAACCTCCGTTTCGTACAGAGACCCAGACCGTTTCTCATCTTATTTCTTTAAAAAATGTCATCTATTTATGCATTTGTCTGTTGTGTGCACAGAAGGGAACACAGGGGTCAGAGGGCACTGTGTGTCCCCGGGATTGAACCTGGGTTTCCAGGCTTGGCCACAGCCCTGTTACCTGTTGAGGCAGACCTTACTGCCCCACCCCACCCCTCTCTTTTTTCTTTAAGTTTTGAGACAGGGTCTCACTCTAGCTAACTTCGAACTCATCCTCCTGCCTCGGCCTCCCCAGTGCTGGTGACAGGTGTCATCCTCCTGCCTCGGCCTCCCCAGTGCTGGTGACAGGTGTCATCCTCCTGCCTCGGCCTCCCCAGTGCTGGTGACAGGTGTGTCCCACTATGCCTGGCTCTTTGGACTGACTGATTCATCGATCGATTTTCAGACAGGACCTCACTGCAGTCTTGGCTAGCCTCAAACTCAGTGTGAGTCTCCTGCCTCAGTTTCCCAAGTGTGGGGATCACAGAGGGCACCTCAGTCCCAGCTTTCTCTTCATTCCCCACCCCCAGGTCTCTTTGCAGAGACTCAGGTGGATGTCAAGGGCCAGGACGCCTCTGGTTTGCTACTGTGAAGTCTGTCCCTGAGCGGCCTCGGTGACAGCCTGGCATGATTGCAGCCACCATGAGTCTAGGCAGACCCTCCAGACAAAGGGGTCTGTGTGGGGTCAAGGAACTCGTCAGATGTGCCCTGCAGCCTGCCCAATTTTGTGACTTTTGAGTCTCTTCAGGTAGATGATTGGGAACAGTGCCACAGCTGCCCCCTCCTGCCTCGTGCTTTCCGGGGTGCTTTGCACTGAGCCAGGATGCAGGGAGTGGGATTTGGGATTCACGCCCCCTCCTCCCAGGTGTCAGGGGCAAAAGGCCGTCAGGTGAAGAGTGACATGTCTGTGACTTGTCCTCACGACACTGTCCTTTGTCAAGCCATAGTCTCCATGGAAGTGTGTCAGTGCCGAAGGATGCCCATGGCCTTCACGGGGGCATTAAACACCCGCTCGTACCCACAAATTTTCTGGGTGGAGCCCCTCTGCTACAAACTGCTCATCCTGGCCACATAGGAGTCCCTGCCACCCGAGGGGCTGGGAAGGGACTGAGGACAAAGTGCATGGCCAGACACCAGCTGGTGTGTGTGTGTGCGTGTGCGTGTGTGTTTGTTTGTTTGTTTTCTTTAGTCTGGTTTTTGAGACAGAGTTTCTCTATGTAGCTCTGGCTGTCTTGGAATTCACTATATAGACCAGGCTGGCCTTGATCTCACAGAGATCCGCCTGCCCAGCATTTTGTTTGTTTGAGACAGTGTCATTCTGTAGCCCAGGCTGCCCTCCCACCTCACCCCCGTCCCCCTCTCAGCCTCCAGGCAGGCATGATGGGTGTGTGCCGGAACAGCAGGCTTCAGAACCTGGAGCACCGTGGTCCCCAGTGCTGGTGGGGTTCTGTCCTGAGTGACTTCTTGAAGCACAAGGGCCGTGACGTTGGTGAATGGCGGAGGCTTTTCTCTTGGTGCCTGGGTCCTGGTTTCACTTTCTGTCTTTCATTTCTTTCTTCTTTTAAAAAAAATAATGTATTTAACTTTGTTTTATGTGGATTGGTGTGAGGGTGTCAGATGCCCTGGAACTGGAGTCACAGACAGATGTGAGCTGCCATGTGGGTGCTGGGAATTGAACCCGGGTCCTCTGGAAGAGCAGTCAGTGCTCTCAACCTCTGAGCCATCTCCAGCCCAGCTTCCTCCTTTCCTAAAATGCAGGTTTACACCCTGATTCAGATAAAGCGTGAGTGACTGTAGCATTCATCCGGGGCTCTGGGTGGGGGGGGAGCACGGAAAGTCTGGGGTGTTGTTTGTGTTGTGTTTTGTTGCTTTTTTGAAACAGTCTCACTATGTAGTTCTGGCTGTCCTGGATCTCGCTCTGTAGACCAGGCTGGCCTCGA